AGCAAGAGCAGCAGCGGCAGCATGATGGATGCAGGACGCGCCTCAAGGTCTCCAACCCCAACAGGCTTGAGTGAGGCGAAAGGCTCTGCAACGCAACACTCACACCTGGAAGTGGAGACCTCAGAGCCAGAGATTGCCGAAGGGCAAAATCGGCTTCTTCCGTTGAGGCATTTTCGGGCTTGCCGGGCTTGGGCGCTGTGGGGCTCCACAATTGGAGACAAGCTCCACAGAATCGCAACCAGATTCCCGACTAAGCCTTGGAACTGGAATCCGTCCAAAATAACGTTAGCTGCGAAACAAGAAGCATCTAGGCTCAGATTGGATTGCAATCCACACTGAGCAAATAGGCCTCAAACGACGCCAGGCAAATCTGAGTCCGCAACCGCCCAAGGTCTCGGAAAGAAGCCGAATCTGCTGATCCTGCATGAGCGACGACTCACTAGGATCTCTACATCTTTGTGCAAGGAAATGTGCGCAGCGGACATGGGGTGGAACAGGATCACTTGGTAGCGTGTTCTCTCCTTCAAGTGCCCAAAATGATTCTTCTAAGCATTCAAGTGCGGCCATTCTGCATTACGAGGATGCTAGAAATAGGCACAGGCAACATGCAGGCTGTGCCGCAAGGGGGAGCATCACGACACTCTATTAGACCTGACAGCCGGAAAAACAACTGCCAACAATGGTTGAAGTGCACAGCGACAAAATCTACACTAACTTTACGCCCGATGTCCTCAAAGACATCGAAACCCTTCTTCCCTGAACCCCTCACCCAGAATTCCCGGAGGCTCCTGGTTAGGTACCTGCGACTCCAAGCCGAGTGCTCGAAGCTTCGAAGCCTGCTTCTTCTTGCGCCGTGCTTCACCTTGCTTACGTCCGCGATCCACGTCCCCCCCCCCATGGTATCGGGATGAGGAACCATGAGCTCTCGGTAAAACCTCTCTCGACCCAGAACACGGGCCACATGGCCACAGGGGATGATTATCTCTAGAAGCCCCCAATACAACTATTACAAAACCTGATAAACCCTCTACGAGCCCTCCAGAAAACTCTTTAAAGTTGTAGAAGCCTTCTATAAAAGCTATGAACTTTCTGTAAGCCTTGTACAAGACTCTACAATGTCTTTATAAACCCCTCTAGAAAACCTCTATCCCGAAAAGTGCAAACTCCACAAAACCGTCATAAACCCTCTAGAAACCTGTCAGACAATCCACCACACCACCACTGGGTGACGCCAGGGGGGTGGGGGATAACATACTGAATTCCTGATCGGAGCTCCCATAAGGGCCTCGAAGTTCGTTAAATCCCGTTTCTTATGTGGTCGTTTGAGATTACTGGTCCTTCATGTGTATACTGGTCGGGCCAGGGAGGAGAGGGAAGGAGGGGGGAACACTGGGAAAGCTAAGATGGGTAATGGACATGGGCGTCTCATCTGGAAAAAGACCTAGCTAAATGGTCAGAAAGAGACCCATGTGAGAACTGTTCTTGGTGACTGAACCAATTAAAATAAACTCTTCCCTCATAGTGAACTCAAAAGGAGGATTCTATCTTACTCTACATTGTGGACCATAACATCCCAGATCAATCAACTACTCAGGTCCACCCTTGTTATTATTCCCTTGGTAGCCTGCACATACCCAAGCTCCACATCACAGAGGGCATTTAGGCCGAGCCCTAGGGGGCTTCAAAGGCCTAAGGCCCAAGAATCTGGGACCCGCAAGGTTCTGAGGTCTAGGATTTACCTAGATAGGCCTAGTTACCCATGATAATGGGCTACTTTAACCCAAAGTAGTAGGAAATTAAGGGAAAGTAGACTATAATTCAGGGTACTGGCGTTCTAGGTAGGGCTTTGGGGAATTGAAAGCTTTGACATGAGCTGAAAACACTTTAAAACCAGGCCGCTGGAAGTGCACAGGTGGCAGTGCAGGCAGTTTGCGCCGTTTGCGCATCCGTTGGGCTTCCTGAGTTGAACATGGAATGTGCAATAGGGATTCTGTAGGCTATATAGATATGGGGGGTTCCGTCCATTTGAAGGGGTTCCCTAAGAAGGGTTTGGCTGTACTTGGGCCTTTTTGGGGTTACTATTTCTGGAAATTATCAATGAGCATGAGTATGGAGGTGTGCAGAGCTTAGCATGTAGGATGGATTGAGGTAGGATGTAGATAGGGGGACATATGGGAATAGATAATGGTTCAGAGGAAATATGCAAACCCAGTGGAACACCAGATACAAGGAAGAACTAGATACAAGGATGAAATGGAGAGTTTCGGTACGACACTGGGCCTCTTCCTCTAACAACGAAGAGACCCACGATGCTGGTGGGCACATAATATCACCTCTACTCTCGTGAGATACACATACATGTATATCTATCCATGGAAAAGCATGGACCACAGAGTAGTTTCCATTTTATCTTCCATTATCCCAATATAACCCCAATATACTATAGTAGGTTCCACTTTATTTTCCCCAATATAACCTGAATGTAACCCTAATATTACCCCAAGGGGTTGAAGCGAGCCCGGGTGGGCTTCAAAGGGCCCGAACCCTGTGCACACAACCAGCTTGCGCCAGCATCTTTAGTAGGTCAGTACGACAAAAGCCGCATTGTTCGTGCCGATCCGCACGAGCCCTGCATAAGCCAACAATGATATCACCAAAACATAAGTGGGTTTAGAAGCCCGTTGGGGTAGTATAAGGGTACATTGGGTTAATATTGGAATAATGGAAAATAAAATGGAAACTACTATAGTATACTGGGGTTATATAGGGATGATGGAAAATGCAATGGAAAGTACTATTCAGGGTGTAGGGTCAGGGTTTACAATGCCCAGACTGAAGCCCCAACGCTGGAAGGATGAAACGCCACACCCCAAATCCTTCAACCCTGCACTGCATCCCAACCCTAAGTCCTGGACTTCCAAAATAGAATTACCGCTATTAACACTAAATAATAGTTTCCATGTTCTTCTCCATTATCCCCATATAACCCCCAAGAAATACCCCTATATGACCCTAAATAATACTTCCAACCCAGGACCCCAACACCCTACTAGAAGTTCCCATTTTGGGGGTCCTCATCATAGGATTTATAAAAACTTGGGGTCTCCATTGGGTTCCCTTTATTTTGGCAAACTATCACACCTAAACCCTTAACCCTAAACCCTGCACCCCTAAACCCCTAAACCCTAAACCCTAAACCCTGAACCCGTAACCCCAAACCCTAAACCCGTAACCCCAAACCGTAAGCCCGTAACCCTAAACCCTAAACCCCAAACCCCAAACCCGTAACCCGGAACCCCAAACCTCAAACCCTAAACTTCAAACCCCAAACCCTAAACCTTAAATCCTAAACCCTAAATCCTCAACCCTAAACTGCAAACTTCAAAGGCCAGCTGCCAGAACCAACCGCAAGGCTTGCAGCGGCCGCTGGCATGAAGGATGGATCCCACCGAGCCCAGGGAGCCCAGGGACTCCTACTTTTTTTATGGATTTAGGGTTTAGGGTTTAGAGGTTTAGGGGTGTAGGGTTTAGGGTTTAGGGTTTTTTTTTTTGTTGTGGGACCTTTTCTCCTCAGGTGAATCCCCTCAGAAATGTTACTTGAACACGGCCCAGGAATCCTTACAGATCACCACGAACCTCAGGAACATTCTGGATACAAGCACTTACCCATCACAGCCAACCCTCAGCGTTTAGGGTTTTAGGGTTTCGGGTTTAGGGTTTGGGGGTTTAGGGTTTTAGGGTTTCGGGTTTAGGGGTTTCGGGTTTAGGGGTTTGGGGTTTCCGGTTTAGGGTTTAGGGCTTAGGGTGTATATAGGGTTTAAGGTTATAGGGGTATATATTCTCTTTAATGAAAGATGAGATGGAGAAGAAAATAGAATATGAAAAGGAAACAGGGGGTTATAGGCCGATTTAAGGTTGATGTGGGGCTATTTCCCTATAACGGAGAAGCCAATGGAAAAAGAACACCGAAAATGAAATGGCAACTACTATTTAGGGTTTGGGGTTCAGGACTTAGAGTTTAGGGTTCAGTGTTTAGGGGCCCCAGCATTGCATGGTTCCCCTAGCGCGGGCCCTAGAACTTGGGAACCCTGCATAGCAATTATACATCCGAAAACGCTATGAAGGAATCAACCTCCACACCCTCATCTGCGATCGCTGCTTCCCAATAGCTCTCTGCCTTCCAGACTTTGTCTGCGACAACGACGACTACTACTATTCGTCTACTAGAACAGCCAAAGCAAGAGACAACTCTAGCCTGCTACGCCAGCTCTCGCAATTTGCGGCCCATGGTTAGGACCTTCGGATCTGGAGATTACAAACGGATCATAAGGGCTTCTATTCAAATTTCTGCTGAGAATTTCTTAGCAGATGTTTCCACAACTGCGTCAGTGACGGAAATGCTGCAGAATCAGAATCTGCAGAAGGAAAATGCACCGGGGGGAGATGAGATAGAGCATGGGATGGAAATCAGGGTTGTGTAAGGTCAGGCGTCTGGCATTCCTGATCCCCGTCGTGGTATGGGGGGCCCCCAGGTAAATCTCAGTGATTGTATTGGAAGAGTGCCAACAGCCACAGGGGCAATACGCGATCTTCTTTGTGTATTCGGCTTTGTCTAAAGGATCCCGAAAAAGCCAACAGCCACAGGGATCGGGCGATCCTTATGAATGTGGTGCTTTTGCGTTTGCATGTCTCCAATTGATGAGGAACTTCTATCTCCGTCTCGACTCTCTAAACTCCAAAGAACCTTCCTTAAAAATGACGATGCATCTTCATATATATATATATAGACAGACAGACAGACAGACATACATACATACAAAACATATGTCTCCTAAATCATCAGGGGTCCTTTGGGGAAGTTTATACACAACCAGGTGGCGACAAAGTTGAGAAGAAGCATTGTCATCGCTCCAAGAACAGCAAAACGCAGAGTATTCAGCAGAAGGATAGACAAAAAGATAGTATTGCACACAATTCCCTGCACCCGAATTCCAACGGTCCTGGGCAGGGGTCTCCGGCTGCAAAGGCATGGGGGGCGGCTCAAAGATTGGGCTGCAAGGGCTTGGCTCGGGGCTCTCGGCCTGGGGCAGGGTAAGCCCCGGGGGTGGAGGCAGCCCCGGCGGTGGAGGGATTGCCGCAAATGCCGCAAAGCGTGGGGACACCAACGTCTCCCCGTCGTCCTGTGGGGCTTCCTCTTGGGTGTCATGACGAGTGGCCTTGCGGGCCTTGGCTCGAAGCTTCTTTCGGGACTTCACCTCGCTCTTGGGGCAAAGGTGGCAATGAAGGCACGCAGTGCCGTTCAAGCAGCCCTTAGGCTTCCAGAGCCATGCGCAAGGTTTGCACAGCCTCGGCTGATGACAGACAGCGCACCATCTTCATCGCAATCTGGGAAAGAAAGGTTGCAAGTGTTCAAGGGCTATAAGAGGGGAATGCATTACGGTCGCAGGAAGCCTACTCACGAAGCGCGTGCAAAGCCAAGCCGCCCTTGGCCGTGGAACTGGGATCCTGCGGAGGGCCAGGCAATGTCAACGGTGGCATCCGAGAAGAGGGGGGACTCGTCAGTCCTTGCTGCAGAGGCGTTGGTGGTGCCACTTTTTTCCAGGGAAGCCCGCCCCTACACAAGTTTGCATAAACTAAACTTATTGATTCTTAGTAGGAAATGAGGGAATATTCTCCCTACATAAACCCTGTACTATAGTCGAATATTCCCTACTAAGAACCAGTAAGCAAATGCAAGCTACAGAAAACTTTCTTGTTTAGGTGGGGCATCGAAAAGGTCGGCGAGGCCAAGCCCTGCAGAACGAGCGTGTCGTCCGAGTCCTTAGAATACGCGAAAACCATGGATCTAAGGCATTACATTTTTCCCCCACATAATTTGTGGTGTCAATTTTTTACGCAATCGTCCAGCCTCCAACAATAACTCCTCCCCAGCCGGACATTTCGGTACGTGCAATTCGGTATACTTTAAACTCCCTTGAAACTCCTCTTCCAGACCCGATTGCCGTCTTTTCCCGTTACATTTTCTCCACGCCCTCCTTCTTGTCTCTTTCAGTGTATCTTTTTGTTCCCGGTAAAGCTAAACATGTGCGGTGTTCCGGTTCTTTAACTGATTATTACTGTTATTACAATTGATATTCACTGCTAGTATCACTATACTGAAGTGACTATTGTTACTATTACGGTTTGAAGACCCAACCTAGTGCCTGTGGCCGTGCGACTGTAGGGGCAAAACATGGTCGACTTGGGTAGACTGTAGACCTCACCGGAATGAAAGGCTGTCCACCCCCAAATAGTCCGGCTTCTCAGTAGCCGAGCTCGCAACGAGAAGGTTTGCGTATCTGCTGAAACTTAAAGAATTCAGTCGGGAAAGCTCAGATTAAGTCAGAAATGTCAAAGAAAACTAGGCCAATCGCTGACTGCTCCCCCTCACACCAACGACCAATGTATGTAAGGCATAGTCTAAACTCCAAGTCTCCCCGTAAATATCCCGTATAGTAGTCCCCTATATCATCGCCTATATAACCTACCCCATGTAAGGAGTTTAGATTATGGCTCATGTTCCAAAGTGTCGAGGAAACCATAATTTGGAGACATCCCACCTACTTCAGTCCTGAACCTTCAACATCCCTCTCGTGCCTGGAGGCATACTACTCGCAAGAACACAAGCAATAATAACAAGAATACGAATAAGAGCTATACCAGTAGCTATGACAATAATCACAATAAGAAAAGATGACAAGACCAATAATTTCAACGATCGGTCGCCATGCGAATGCGTGCGCACAAGACGCACGCGTCAGAGCAGAAGCCCAAAAACATTGTAAATGTTGCATTTTGGGCATGTGGACACATTTTCAGGGAATGCAGAAATGTGGCCCAAAATCACCCAAAAGACTGCAAAAATCGCGTTTTCGGCTGGGAGGCTGTCTCGATCCTTCAAGAATGGAACATAAAAACACGCCCTTGGTCCAGCAGAAGCCAAAAATCATGGTAAATGTGGCATTTTGGGCATGTGGAGACATTTCCACAGAAGCAAGAAACATGACCGAACATCGTGCATGAGACTGGCAACATCATGTTTTGGACAGGGAGGCGCTTTCAACGGTTCCTTGACAGCTCTTGGAACACGAACGGAATGAGGCTGTGGGCATGGATGCTCTGGTCACCGTAAGCTCGTGGACCACGAACGGAATTATGTTTTGGGCATGGATGCTCTGGTCACCGAAATTATGCTTTGGGCATGGACTTTTAACACGAAGGAGTTATGCCTTGGGCATGGATGCTCTGATCACTGAAATGCTGGCTGCGTCGGTATTGGGTGAAGGTCACAAGCTGCAAAGTGCTCGGAAAACTGCTAGGGTCAGCCAAAAAAGGCTCCCTTGCAAATGCGACTTCATACGTATAAGAGAATGCAGAAATTCTGACGGCACAAGCACTTCGCACACTTAAAAAGCCTTCGAAAATGCGCGAAGTACTGCGAGGGCCAGTACAGATGGGCTTGGGCGAGGACGCAGATTTTGCGCGTTAACAGTAATATAATAACAATACTATGATAATAACATTATAGTAACAATAACAACAAGAACAATAACAACAATAACAACAATAACAACAATAACAACAACAATAACAATAACAATAACAATAGCAATAGCAATAACAATAACAACAAAAAGGCAGAAGCTGTGGTCAACCTGCAGGATGACATCCGAGCAGCGGAGTCCATGGTGTCAAAAGGCAGCACCCCGTAATCCTCTGGGATATCGGTGTCGCCTCCAGGTATCAAGCATGTCTAACTGAAGGTCTGGGGTTTAAGTTGGGTACTGCCCCAACCCAGTAACAGTCTATATTAGGGGTCCTGTTAAGTGCTATATATAACCATATTATAATCATTATCCAATTGTTACTGAGGGAGGGCAGTACCCAATGTTTAAGGATTTCTTCAGGCCTGTTTCTGAACTTGAGGTCCCCTTTCATATACTCCCCTCATTTGATAATGTCTCAAGTCCTCCTAGGCCACAAGAAAAGAAGTCTTGCAAGAAAGCCGTTAGACTCCAAGAAACAGTCCACTTCTACACCAGCGTTTTGTTCAAACCCCCGAGAATGAAGTCGGATACCTGACTGGACGGTACCAATTTAGACATTAACTTCTTCCACTTCTGCTTGGCAATGGGCTGTGATTGCGATACACATACAGAGACAGCAGTGAAGCGGGTGAAAGGTTGCCAGAACATCACAAATATGAGTCGCAGTTTTCCATCTCGAACGAGATTTCACGAACCTGGGCCGGAGGGCAGTTTTGAAGGTCTAGGCATCAAACCTATGCTCGAAATTCTTCGCCAAGATGGAATGTTGTCAGGATCGCAGTATGAGTTGGCCGAAGCCCCCTAAACCCTAAACCCTAACCCAAACCCTTAAACCCTAACCCAAACCCTTAAACCCTAAACCCCGTGAACTATGACTACATACAAGGACGCCACCTTGGAGCACTTGAAAGTTATGCCTACTCTTACTGTTACTTTTACTGCTACTGGTATTGTTGCCGTTGCTACTGCTATTATCCTAGCATTACGATTCTTATCCATATTACTGTGGCTCTTACTACCACTATTACTATGATCATTGCTATTGCGATAACTATTTCCAGCTCCTACCCCTCCTCCTCCTCCTCCTCCTCCTACTACTACTACTACTGCTACTACTACTACTACTACTACTAGTAGTGGACCTTCCCAAGCCAGTCCAAACATGCTTGCAATCGTGCAAATGGTGCACGGGCTGCCCACCCAGACCCCTGGGAGGATCTAAAAATTCGATCCCCTATATAGACCCATTATAACCCCTATATAGTCCTTATATAATTCCCCCTATGGTTCTAGGGGATCTAATTTTTGGATCCTTTTGGGAGTCTGGGTAGTGGCTTTGGGATTAAGATTTCGTCCGTCCAGGGTCCGGGGCTCAGAGATTGAGGCTCGCTGAGGTGCTGTAATCCGAAAAGCTGAAATGGGGTTTCCCAAAATTAGGGGTACCATTTTTGGGGTCCCTATAATAAGGACTATAGTATTTTCGGGTCTATATTGGGGTCCCCTATTTTGGGAAACTACCAAATCCTATCTGCAAGCTACCTGGCTACCCCTTCCGAGTTGTCAGGTTCGTGCTGGAGGAGGAGGTGGAGGGTTTAGGCATTCATTGGAGGTCATGGGGGTTAAGTAAGTCAATGATGGGGATAAATAAGTTACTACGTGGGTTTAAGGATTATGAGTCCCCCCGGACCCCGTACGTAGGGTATAGGGATTAGGGACTTTAGCGGTAAAGAGAGTATTGAAAATCTTCCAGTTCGATGAAGGCTGGCCCCCCACATCGCTGCCTCAACACATGGCAGATTATGGAGATTATGGCCAGGATATGTTGGGGCCTGGGGGGGTGGAGGAAGATTTCAAGGATTTCAGGGGGCTTTTTGGAAACCCTGGGCCCTAAAAGCCAAGTCTCTGCGAGAAGCTGCCTGCCAACATGCTAAGCTCATGTATTCAAGGGGCTTCAACGCCAGATGCCTTCATCTGAGTAGCGTTTTTTTTGTGGTTAAACCTAGTAAGATTATATTCCTCATATAAAATACTATACCCCCAAAGGAGGATAGATTCTTACTCTATATTGGGTACCATAGTATCCCAAATAAAGTGCTACTCATCTGTCCTGTCAAGCTAGCGTAACGTGCCAGGGAATCATGTCTTCAACTTGAAGGTTTCGGATACTTTCACCCTGATCTAGACATACGCGCTCGTCCAGAACGATGAGAAGGCCCCAGAGTCTCCTCATAGGCTTTAGGGTTTAAGGGTTTGGGGGCTAAGGTTCAGGTGTTTGGGGTTTTGGGGTTCAGGGGTTTAGGGTTTAAGGTTTTGGGGTTCAGGGGTTTAGGGTTTAAGGTTTTTTTGCTGAAATTCTACCGGGTTCTCTCTAAGCACACGTCTTGCATGAGGACGAGGCCATGCCAACTCAGGGGCTGCCCCCATGCAATGTTGCTTTGGAGCTTGGACCCGTGATATCTTCGGAGAACCCCCCAGCCTGTAATAGTGGTCTAATAGGAATAGAAGAGGACCCTAATACAATCCTTATTATCCCTTATAGCCACTATTACTGGGTGGGGGGTCCACCTAAGTGATATCCATCTCCCTTCAATGGCAACTCCCACCGGCTCACACCCTGCCCACGCGATGATAATGAATGTCTCAAGGAGTTTGTACCACGAACATTGACTGGGCTTTCCTGCGCGGCTGCGCGCAAGGGTCGCTTCCTGTGTCAAACCTTGCCCTTGATCTTTTCACTGGGTTCTTGTTGTACTATTAAACAAGATCATTGTTAATTTACATTGGGCCCAGGTATACAGAAAAATGTATAATGTTATTCAACAAGAACCCAGTTCAGACTCCAAGAGCCTGGATCAGCACTTCAAAGGCTATGCCCATTGCCACATCAGTTTCAAACACAAACCGTGGAATCTTCGGCCTCGTTACGCTGCCCTGAGCACTCAAACGCACAGGGAAATTTGAACCTGTCAACTCTGAAATGAAAGAAGAGCCAATTTGATAAATCCAGGGGCCAGCGCTTAGAGGTCTATTTGAAGGTCCCCCTTTCAAGGATGGCAATATTAATATTGATAGTTGTCCGTTTAAATCATGGAGAAGCTAGCTACCATTTACTTTCCATTTTCTTTTCCACTTGATTCTCCATTATTCCAGAATGTGTGCGATGATTAAGACTTCCATATCTGGCATTTCCCTAAACCCTAAACTCTAACCCTAAACCCTAAACCCTACTCTTGAAAGGCTTGTCCTGAGAACGCC